TTTTTTTTTTTTTTTTTTTTTTTTTTTTTTTGTCTTTTTCCGTGTCCGGCAACGGATCGCAACCCTCAGTGTCGCCCCCAGACCGGACCGGGACCGGCAATGGGATCGCAACCCTCGGTGTTGCTCCCGCGCCTCGCTCAGCCAGTGAGTGGGAACCGGTCTGTATGTGGGATCCGAACCCTCGGGCGGGAGCGCCGCCGCGCTTCCCAAGCGGCGCACTATCCAGTGCGCCACCGGGCCGGCCCTCTCTTGTCTTTCTTATGTACGTATGTACTCGTGTGTGTGTGTGTAAGTGTGTGAGTATGCGTGTGTGCACCTGTATGTGTCTGTATGCGTGCATGCATGTACGTGTGTGTATGTATGTATGTGCGTGCAGCACCCATATGTGTGTATGCGTGTATGTACGTGTGTGTGTGAGTGTGTATGTGTGTGCACTTGTATGTGTGGGTGTATTCCCACTCCCATCTCCCCCCAGGCAAGCATTCTAATGTGTTTAATGTGTATCCTTTCATGTATATCAGTTCTTGAAAACATGCCAGGTGACTCTGTGTGCACGTGTTTTAACTTGCATGATGGCATCGTGCTCTGTCACTCATCCCGCTTCTTCCCATGATCTTAAGATCCACTCACGTGAGCTGCTGTGTGAACATCCACGCCTTTGCATCCACCAGCTGCACAGCACCCCACATGTGCACTGGCTGCTCTCCTGGTGATGGGCACGCCGAGGTCACCAGCTCTGCACCTCCACAACAACTCATGTCCGTGTCCTACCTCTGGGCCTGGGTGAAAATCTCTGTCTTATCTACCAAGGAGTAGAACTGCTGAGTGTGTAGAGCACACAACCTTCTCATTTGTCCACACCCTGCAAAGGCACTCTGGAACGGCTCTGCCATCTGTGCCAACCTGCCCACAAGCCACACATGAGGTTCACATTTCCCTACATCTCTGCCAACACTTGGCATCATCCAGCTTTCTCATTTCATCAGTAATGGGCAGAAAATCTTATCTCATTGTTGAATACTTTGCATTTTTCTAACAACCACTACATTTGAGCATCTTTGCATGTGCTCTTTAGCCTTTTTGGCTTCCTCTTCTGTATATTGCCTTTAAGATTCTTTACCCGGGTTTCCATGGAGGTTGCTGCCTCTGTCTAGCTGATTTGCAATAGTTCCTGGTGTACTCTAGATGTTAGTCCTTTCACTTTTTTAAAAAAACAGCTTGATAGTGGGGGGGTGGGAAAATATAAAAAAATTTAAAAACAGCTTTATTGAGACGTCGTTCACATACCTTACAATTCACCCATTTAAAGTGTACAATTCAATGGATTCCGGTATATTCATGGACATGTGCAACCATCACCTGCCAATTCTGAAACATTTTCATCACCTCAAAAAGAAATCCATACCCATGAGCTCTCACCCCCTGTCCTATCATCCCACCCAGCTCTAAGCAACCACTAATGCACCTCTGATGTAATCTACAGATTTACCTATTCTGCCCCTCTTATATAAATGGAGTTATGTAATAGGTGGTCTTTTGTTACTGGCTTCTTCCATTTAGCGTAATGGTTTTAAGGTTCATGCATGTTGTAGCATGTGTCAGCACTTCATTCCTTTTTATGGCTGAATAATATTCCGTCATGTGGATAGACCACATTTTGTTTATCCATTCGTCAGTTGAGGGACATTTGAGTGGTTTCCACCTTGTGGCGACTGTGAATAATGCTACTGCAAATGTGTGTGTGCCAGTTTCTGTGTGGACATGTGTTTCTGTTTCTCTTCGATATTTACCTAGTAGTGGAATTGCTGGGTCATAAGGTAACTCCGTTTAGTCATTTGAGGAATTGCCACAGTTTTCCAAGTGGCTGCATCATTTTACATTACCAGCAGCCATGTGCGAGGGCTCCAATTTCTCCACGTTATCTTACGTTTTTATCACAGCCACCCTAGTGGACATCAAGTGACATCTACCTCGTTGGTTCTGATTTGCATTTCCCTGATGACCACTGGTGTTGACCATCTTCGTGTCGTGTGCTTATTGGCCATTTGTATGTCTTTCTCAAAGGAATGTCTATTCAGATCCTTTGCCCATGTTTTAATTGGGTTTTCTTTTTATTAGGGATTTCAAGTTCTTTATGTATTCTAGATACAATTTCCTTGTCAGATATATGACTTGCAAATATTTTCTCCCATTCTGTCGGTTGTCTTCTCACTTTCTTGTTGGTGTCCTTTGAAGCAAGAAAGTTTTTAATTCTGATGATGTCCAACTAATCTATTTCTCTTTAGTTATTTGTGCTTCGGGGTCACATGTAAGAAGCTCTTGCCAAACTCAAGGTCAAGAAGATTTACTCCTGTGTTCTCTTCTAAGAGTTGTTTTAGCTTTTACATTTTGGTCTTTGACCCATTTTGAGTTCATTTGTGTGTATGGTGTGAGGTAAGGGTTCAAATAGGTAAGGAGGTCAGGAGGTCAAAATAATGATGAGAAATATTTTGTACAACCACACATAGCAAGCAGTCCCTGAGCACTGGTGACAAGGGGATAATGACCTCTTGGTTCTCCCAGACATGCACTTGTCCTGACTCTACTCTTTCCCCTCTAACCAGGAGCCCTCCCTTGCCCACGTTTGCCCTTCTCAACCTACCCGAGCCCCTTCTTAGTACTGTCGTCTCCCTGCACAGGCACCACCTGTCCCCAGTTGCCTTTCCCTTCTCCTCTCTGTGCCATAGCCTTGGCCATCCTGATCGAATTCCTCCCCATCCAGGTCCTCCCTCCTTTCTGAAGCCAGTCAGGGTCCCAGGGATGGTCAATACAACTTCTAGGGTCTCAACTCAGAGTCTCCTCTCTCCCAGACTGTTCTGTCACTAGTTCCCTATTGGACCTATGGGCCAAATTCTTGAATTCTCTGTTTTGCTGTGTCAGTCTCTGCCACCCCTGCCTTGGTCCATATGTCAGCTTCAGGTGAAGTTACTGGCTAGTAAGTTTCCCCTCATCCTTATCTCTGGCCTCTGAAATATAGCATCTACATTAAGTGATTATGACATTGCATAGACTGTAACAGAGAAAGCCAAGGACAATTCTTGAAGAAGGTGGCACTATGACAGGACAAATAATAGGGAAATAACAGCCAGCGCCCTACACTCCCTCATGCCATAGTCCCTGCCCACCGTGCAACCCCCTGAGCCATTAGGCCCCACCTTGATCGACCCATGCCTCGCCCTGTCCCTCCCTGCAGGGCGGGGTCGGTAGTCTTCAAGAAGGAGGCGAGGATCAGTGCTCAAGGACAAAGGCTGGCGGCAGAGGTGAGCAGGGAGCAGAGCACACAGGTGCGTTCCATGGGATGTTTGGGGAGAACTGAGAAGGGGCTAACCAAGCAGAGGACAGAAGCAAGGGAAGAAGGGCGTGGAGGGAGGGGCAGGAGAAACAAAGACACAGAGAAGGGCCAGCCAGCGAGGGCAAGATCCCAGAGCAAGTCACAGAGGCTCTCAGTGCTCTCAGTGGCAGGCACCGACTGGCCAGGGGCAAGGAAGGAAGGCACAGCGAGGAGGTGGGCGGTGGAGGGGAGGGCATGCATCTGGTCTATGGCACGGAGGCCTCACCAGCTGCCACCATCTCCCGTGTCCTTCATGGCACCGTTGCCATCGTCTACCATCCCTGCTGCCCATTTGGACGTTGGAACCGAGGGTTGTGCTGGGGAAGGTAAAGGTCTCCTCTGTATCTCTCTCCTTCTTGGCAAAGCAGAAAGAAATCTGCAGATAAGAGGTTGTAAAAAAGAAAGGAGGCCCAGCAGGAAAAGACAGAAGAACGTTAGGTGCATCTTAGTAAGTGAAGAAAGTCAGTCAGAAAAGTCTACACTGCATGATTCCCACCGTATGACTTCCTGGGAAAGGCAAAACCACGGAGACAGTAAAAGATCAGCGGTGGCCAGGGGTTAGAGGAGGGAGGCACGAACAGGTGAGCACAGAGGATATTTAGGGCAGTGAAACTATTCTGTTTGATACTCGATTCTGTTTGGTGGACACGTGTCATTATGCACTTGTCAAAACTCCCAGGATGCAGACCACATCCTAGTGAACCCTAATGGGAACTCCGGGCTCTGGGTGATCGCAACACATCAGTGCAGGCTCGCTGGTCGTACCACGTGCACCACTCTGGTGTGGATGCTGATAATGGGGGACGCTCGCGTGGTGTTGCAGGGTGGGTAAGGGGTATATGGGAACTCTGCCTTCCACTCAGTTTTGCTGTGAATCTAAAGCTGTTCTAAAAATTGAAGTCTATCAAAAAAAAAAAAGAGGCTCATCTAAAACTGAACAAGAGTTCACCCCACAACTTCCTGCTGGCTCTGGCTGGGCTCACCTGCTTCCTTCAGGCTGGGTCCCCAAGAGCACCCCTGAGATCATGTGAGTCGCTGGGCCTTCCCACCAGCACCAGTGGGACAAGACAAAGCAGCCAGAGGGATGTACCCACGATGGGCCATGACCAGGGAGCCAAGCCAGAGCAGCGTGAGAGAGTGAGGGGAGAGGGGTCTGGCAGGGCAGAGAGGGGGGCCTCCAGACCGGCCTCGCTCTGATCCTCTGATCGCCAGGGCCAGGACAAGGGCTGTGGCTCCCAGTAGCCTGCCACCTCATGAGTGATCTACATCTGCAGAAGTGCTCATTAGCGTCCACATAAAATACCAAAGAGCTGAGGGGCTCGGAGTGGAAAAGTAGCGGCAAAAGAGGAAGTTCCTTGGCAGTGCAGGATTTTAGCCAACTTTGAAAGGAGGCAAAGGGTATGAAATTGGCACAGAGCTGGGTGGGAAAGAGACACCATGAGGGTGAGCTTCATGGGAGGGAAGAATCCACGAGGGAAATGGGACCTCTAGGTAACAAATGGGGGCTCACTTGAAGCATGATGCGGATCACACCAAGGTCCAGGGTTCAATCCCTGTACTACCAGCCACCAAAAAAAAGCAAAATAAAATAAAATAATACAATGTATTTAACAAAGGGTCTGTGTTCCCAGCATGTGTGCAATACAATTTCCAAAAAACAAAAGCAAAAACGAAGTGTCCGTGGTGGTCAGGTTCTCTTCCAAAGTGAAGCATTGCTGTATTTCAGTTATACCTGACGCCAATTGGGATGAAATGCACCCCAAGTCCCAGCCCCGCTGCCCCCAATCCTCCCTGCAGGTGGGCTCTGGGCCACCCAGGAGGAAGCTGGACAAGGCAGATGTTATAAGGCCCAGGAATGGATTTGGATTAACTCTCTGTGCCTGTGTGTCTGCACAGGAGAAAATGCTTCCTCTAGATTTGTCCCCAAGAGTTCTGATTTGGGGAGCAAAAGGCAATTACCTGTGAGCCCAGGAATCTCTCAGAGTCCTTCATCCCATTTGCATGCCCGAGGTGTAAGTCAAGCCTCATACCCCAAGCACCACCTGTAGGGAGGGACTCCCAGGTCGACTTGGAGCCTCTAGGAAGTCAGTGAAAGGCAGCGAAGGCAGCTCTTCTGTGGAGAAATGACATGAGGAAGGTGACCCTCCAGACAGGGCCAGTAGCATCAAGGAGGACACTTGAGGGTCTGGAGAAACTAGGCTGGGAGACCCACGGCCAGTAGCTGCAGCAGAGGTTGTGTGAGAGCCGAGGTCTCCCAGAGACTCTTGCACATGGTAGGTTATGACGGGCGGCCCCACCCCAGGCACCAGGGAGGACAGAGTGGTGGACACCGAGGTCTCCAACTTCAGCTGTGTGCACAGGACTGCATTGGCAGCCTGGGGGATGGAGTTATGAGGTGAAGACCATGCCCTCCTCCCAAAAGGGAAGAGAAAGGGCATCTCCCTGAATCACTACCTGGGAACCCCACCCCCAAGGTGCTCCCGGTCAGCCTTGGATAGTCAAGAGACCACGGGGAAGGAGAGAAACTGGGCAGAACTGGCCCCTCGTCCTCTCCCTCAAAGCCACAGGCCTGCAGCCCAGTCACAGCTGAATTACTAGACGTTGTTTAAAACTCTAAGTGTACTGGTTTCGACAGACTGTAACATCATGATTTACTTTAAAAAGAATAGCCAACATTTCTGGAGTGTTTCCTGTAAGACAGGCATTGCTCCAAGTACTTCCTACTTACTGTCCAATTGATTTCTTCTGAGTACCCTAGAAGATAGGTACTGTTGTTATTATTTCCATTTTACGGTTGAGAAAATGAAGCCCCAGAGAGTTTAAGCAACGTGCCCAAGGTCACACAGCTAGTCCTAGCAGTGTGACTTACCAGGACTTGAACCCAGACAGCTTGATTTCAAAATTCTGCACTAAATTTCAAAATGCGTCTACCTAAAAAGTATTTTGTTACATCAGAAATGTAGCTTTGCTGTCAATACAGTTCTCTGTCTCTCCAGGACACAATAAGCACTTTGGGGCATGCAAGGGTCACAGCCTCTGGCTGCTGTGACTCACAGTGCCCCTGGCTGAGCAACCTCGAGGTGGAGAGACAAGAGCCATTTACCTAGGTAAGCAGGTCCACAGGACTGTGAGAGGTTTACAGATGAATGAGGAGAGATCAGAATGAAAAGCCCTCGTGGAGATTTTCATGAAGTCTGATGTAAGCCTGGACAGAGACATGGACAGTGCTGGGAACTGTGCATGGGGCCCGGCTCCCCACGACGGCCTCCAGCTCAGGGTGGGGCACACAAACCCCAAAGCCGAGGGATGCCAAGACCCCCGAGAGATGGAAACTCATTTCCTCCCATATAACAGCTAACTTCATCTTCTCTGCTACATTCCAGAGTGATGGGGCGAAACACCCTGGCCTTCGGCTGGGCAGTGGCTGCCACCCTGGTGCTGCAGGTGGCTGCGACAGAGCACCCCGCATGGACCCTGCATGGCAAGGCTGGGGTGTTCGCCGACCTGAGCGCCCAGGAGCTGAAGGCCGTGCACAGCTTCCTCTGGTCCAGGAAGGAGCTGCAGCTGGAGTCCTCCAGTGCACTGACCCTGGCCAAGAACTCCGTGTTCCTCATTGAGATGCTGCTGCCCAAGAAGCAACACGTGCTGAGATTCCTGGATAAGGGTGAACGGCGTCCTGTCCGGGAAGCCCGTGCCGTTATCTTCTTTGGAGCCCAGGAGCATCCCAATGTCACCGAGTTTGCTGTGGGGCCCCTGCCATGGCCCTACTACATGCGAGCACTGTCCTTCAAGCACCAGCACCTGCCCTCCTGGGCATCCAGGCCCATCTCTGAGGCAGAGTACACTCTCCTCTACGACACCCTGAAGGAGGCCACCAAGCCCCTGCATCAATTTTTCCTTGATACCACAGGCTTTTCCTTCCAAGACTGCCAGGACAGATGCCTGACCTTCAGCGACGTGGCCCCCCGCGGCTTGGCTTCGGGCCAGCGCCGCAGTTGGTTTATCCTGCAGCGGTATGTGGAGGGCTATTTCTTGCACCCCACTGGGCTGGAGCTCCTGGTGGACCACGCGAGCACAGATGCCCGGCGCTGGACGGTGGAGCAGGTCTGGTACAATGGCAAGTTCTTTGCGAGCCCAGAAGAGCTGGCTCAGAAGTACGCCGACGGACAGGTGGACGTGGTGGTCCTGGAGGGCCCCCTACCTGGGGCCAAGGGGGAGGAGGGTACAGAGGAGCCGCCCCTCTTCTCCTCCTACAAGCCCCGTGGGCCTTTCTCCACCCCCCACGGGGTGAGCAGTCCCCGCCTGGTGCAGCCGCAGGGTCCCCGCTACAGGCTGGAGGGCAACGCAGTGCTGTACGCGGGCTGGGCCTTCGCCTTCCGGCTACGCTCCTCCACCGGCCTGCAGGTCCTGAACGTGCACTTCCAGGGCCAGCGCATCGCCTACGAGGTCAGCGTGCAGGAGGCCGTGGCGTTCTATGGGGGACACTCGCCCGCGGGCATGCAGACCAAGTACATCGACGGGGGCTGGGGCCTGGGCACCCTCACTCACGAGCTAGCCCCCGGCATCGACTGCCCGGACACCGCCACTTTCCTGGACGCCCTCCACTACTACGACGCCGATGGCCCCGTCCACTATCCCCGAGCCATCTGCCTCTTTGAGATGCCCACAGGCGTGCCCATTCGGCGGCACTTTGATTCCAACTTTAGCGGAGGCTTCAACTTCTATGCGGGGCTGAAGGGCCAGGTGCTGGTGCTACGGACAATCTCAACAGTCTACAACTACGATTACATCTGGGACTTCATCTTCTACTCCAACGGGGTGATGGAGGCAAAGATGCACGCCACCGGCTACGTGCATGCCACCTTCTACACCCCCGAGGGGCTGCGCCATGGCACCCGTCTGCACACCCACCTGATCGGCAACATGCACACTCACTTAGTGCATTACCGCGTCGACCTGGACGTGGCAGGTAGGACTCAGAACCAGACGCTCCCAGCCAGACATCTGCATGGGATCAGTAAATTACGTTCCTCAGGAGACGGCCCTAAAACTCTCTGGTGGCCGAAAAGCAGGAGTATTGCCCAGCCTGCTTCTGGAAAACCTGAAACTAGTAATTTGCATGCCCCTGAAAAATGGAGAAAGTGAATAGTGCCCAAGGGTTACCCTGGATGTGACAGTGTGGACGCTGTCCCTGCCCTGGGGCTGTGTCGAGCCCCAAGGGGGTGGGGGTGGGGAGTGAGCATAGAAAGGTTCAAGGGGCAGGAGAGGAGACAGTCCTCAGGAAGATAAGAAATGTCACTGCCTAGCACGTTGAGATGGAGTGTAGTGTCATCTGGGGATGCCCAGTGTGTCTCTTAGATGAATGATGTCACTGTAAAAGAATGGGTGGAACAATGGGTTGGCCTGACGTCAAGTCCTGTAACAGAACAAGGCCACCACGACCAGATGGCGGCTTCCACCGGCTCAGCCCAATTCTCCCCTCTGGTCCCAGAGGACACTGGACACAGCCCCTCACGCCTGGAGAAAGATGGCTCTGGGATTGCAGCCACAGTAGACAGGCTGGAGCACAGACCCTGAGAGGAGTGGCCCAGAGTCACAATAGAATCACCGCAGTTGCCATGACTGACCCAGAGTTGTCTTCCAGCTCCTCTGCTTTTTGGGGTTTTGTTCATCCTCCCCCCGCACACACACAGCTGGCCCAGTGCCTGTCCCAACATTCTCTTTGTGGCTGATGGTTGGCTGTCAGATGTGGTCTAGGATGACGATCCTGTACAGAATGGAGTCCGTTCTGGGACTTGATTCTCATTCTCCCTGTCCCTGCATACCTCCAGGCACCGAGAATAGCTTCCAGACATTGCAGATGAAGCTGGAAAACATCACCAACCCCTGGAGCCCAGGACATCAGCTGGTCCAGCCAACTCTCCAGCAGACGCAGTACCCCCGGGAGCGCCAGGCAGCCTTCCGCTTTGGACGGGCGCTGCCCAAGCTCTTGCTCTTCACCAGCCCTGAGAAGAACCCCTGGGGCCACAGGCGCAGCTACCGCCTGCAGATCCACTCCTCTGCCCACGAAGTGCTGCCCCTGGGCTGGCAGGAGGAGCGGGGCATCACGTGGGCCAGGTGAGGGGGGCCCAGGGAGGTTGGTGGAGGGCCAGAAGCTCCCCCCGGCGTTGGTGCATGTCTTTGTGTCTGTGTCTGTCTGTGTTTCTTTCTCTGAGATTCTGTGTCTGTGTCATGGGCATGTGTCTTTGTGAGTTTGGGGCGGGTGAGTGGAGGACTCTTGCTGAGCACTGCACATCAGTTGACAGCAGCTGGTCTTGCTGATTCCTCTAAGATACTGTCATTTGGGGGAAGGCAGTGACTTTCTCCATCACTGACCCTGAAGATGTTCCCTGGGAGGGTGGGATGCCACCCTGGCGCCCAGAGCCACCTGGCTTCTCCTCTGCCCGGCAGGTATCCCCTGGCAGTGACCAAGTACCGGGAATCTGAGCTGCGCAGCAGCAGCATCTACAATCAGAATGACCCCTGGGACCCACCTGTGGTCTTTGAAGAGTTTCTTCACAACAATGAGAACATTGAAAATGAGGTACTGGCCCTGCCCCCAGTCCTGCCCAACTCTGGCCCTGCCCCCTTCCAGCCCTAGCCCAAGACCACCCTCCTCACCATCAGAGACTCCTAACCACCCTGTGCCTGGATCTGTCCCTGGGACCAAGAGCGGTGGTTTGCTGTGTGGAGGGCAAGTTCAGAGGTCACCACAGATCTGCACATTTCTTTAAAATGGGGCTTGAGAGGATTTCAGGAAGTTTCTAGGCATGGCTGAAAATGCCTAAAGGCCAGAGTGGCCTCCAGTGATCAGGATTCAGCACCACCCTGCCACTGAAGCCCACTCCTCTCTCCCGCAGGACTTGGTGGCCTGGGTGACGGTGGGCTTCCTGCACATCCCCCACTCAGAGGACATTCCCAGCACAGCCACACCTGGAAATTCTGTGGGCTTCCTGCTCCGGCCCTTCAACTTTTTCCCTGAAGACCCATCCCTGGCGTCCAGAGACACCGTCATCGTGTGGCCTCAAGACAGTGGCCCCAACCACATCCAGCGCTGGACCCCTGAAGACAAGGACTGTTTAATGCCTCCCCCTTTTAGCTACAATGGGACCTACAGACCCGTGTGAAGGACACTGCCCCCAACTCCCACCTAGAAGCCCGAGAGCCCCACAGGGTGGACAGTGAGCCCCTCAGCACCCAGCTCTGTGTGCTGCTTCTTGGGGGAGGCACAGTGGGCCAGGGCCTCACTCAGGCCACGCATGCAGGACACATGTGTGCAGGTGTGAGAGCACACGGCCCTGGGCCCCTCTCACACTGCACTCCAGAAGAGACCTCCGTTACTGATGCAGAGAAGCTCAGTGGAATACTAGATTTACCCATCAGATGGGTTTTTTAAAAACCTGAGACTGACGACTCCCTCTTGGGGAGGCCGTTGGAGAATGCTCCAGCGTCTATGAAGCACGCAAAATGGCACAACCATAGGAAGACACTGTGGGAAAATCTAGCAGAATTACCAATACCTTTACCCTTTGGCAGACTGATCTGACTTCTAGGGGCTATCCCCAAGATCCATCCATACATGCAGGAAAAATATATGTATAAAGTGATTCATTGCAGCATAGTTTGTAACAGCAAAAGTGTGGAAACGATTGACTTTCCACCTACAGGAAAGACCAGTTGAATAAACTATGGCTCAAACACACGTGCAGCTCTGGGTGGTTGTAAAAGGAGGTGTGGATGAGGACACCCTGTGCACTGATAGGAAAGACCTTCAGGATATGTTGAGTAAGAAAAAGAAATAGGTGTAGAATTATATACGTGTGTTTATAGTATGCTAACTTTGTGTAAAAAAGGAGAGGAGGTTATATATAATTGTCTTCACATGGATGGTTGTTTTGTTTGTTTCTTGTTTGTTTTTTGAGTGATGAGAGCCTGAGGGAACAGAGGGGGACAAGTAGGGAGGGCTGGGCGATGGGAGGGCCGGGTAGACAGGTAGGGGCTGGGGACAAGCCCAGGGTAATCACAGCATCTCCTCAGAGGGACGTCAGAGAGGAGAGAAGCTGTGCCGCTGGCTTTGAAGATGGAGCAAGGGGCCACAGCCACCAAATGTGTGGGCCTAGTCTAGAGTCTGGGAAAGACAAGGAAACTGATTTCCCCTTGAGCCTCCATTAGGAACACAGCCCTGAAGACCTCTGGAACTGTAAGAGAGTAGATTCTGGTGTGTGAAGACACTACATTTGTGGAAATGTGTTTATAGCAGCCATAGAAACTAATACAACAGGTGTGGAGTGTTCTTTCCTAAGGGACTGTTGACAGAGGAAAACATAAAAAGCAAGTGTATGGGAGCATCTGTCCCTTCCCACCCCGTGGCTCCCAGACTCTGCCTGGAGCTTGGCAGCCAAGGCAAGCACGGGCACAAAGACCCACTGACCGGGAGCAGAAACGGGCAGGTTGGGTCACAAAAGTCCAGGGACAGCCAGGCCAAACATGATGAGTAGGGCTGGGTCCTGGATCTTCAACTGGACAGTCCAGTAAAGCCAATTCCAACCCTGCTCCTTCCCCAAGAAAACAGGAAAGAAGGCTGTGATTGGTTCAGAGGAGCATTTTAGGGGGGCTCAGATGAGAGTGGAGTTAGAAACCAGGGTCCAAGGGGTGAGTCTTTATGTGTGACTGCTGCCACCCAGCCACACCAGAGGCAGCCTGAAGACCAAAAGCTGTCCCTTACTTTACACCTGTCTCTTCTCATAGTCTTGTCTGATTGTTGTGCATTTACTGGGCACTCGGTGGCACTTGTTGAGTGACTAGTGACTAAAAGCCTAGGGAATACAAATTCCAAACACACATACCCCTCACACCCTCCCTTCCCTACCCTGATGAATTTTTGTCCCTCACCCCAAATAATGATTTTGGCCATTCCCTCAAGTGTCACAGCCCCATCTTCCAACACCACCCCAAAAGAGAGGACTAGAGGGCCTGAGCCTCACTGCTGAGAGTCCCGGGGGCTCTTGCAAGCTCCATCACTGTGACCCTCGCAGGCTACCATCTTCCAGCCTCCTCCCCTGTGGTCCCCGGCTCCCACTTTCCAGCATTTCTCTCCTTGCTCAGGCTTCCTCTAAGCCTTACGCAAACTCCAGAACGTGGCTGGGTAGGCACACAAATACAAGGAAGACTAAGTCCTGTCCTGAAGACATCCACAGTCAGGGGGAGACTGGCCAGTGCAAGAGCGCTGTTTTCCAGACCCCGAGAAACCAAGGAAGACATCAGTTAACATTGTGCGGTTGTTGCCCAGGAAAGGAACCAAACACTTAATTAAGAATTTCAACAGAGTCTTTATTTTCCAGCCAGCGACTGCCTCCCCTAGGTATCTCAGGAGAACAGCCCCGAGCTTTGGTCTGGTGGGGCTTATAAAGGCAAAACCACATCCCACTGGCACACGCATTTGTCCAGGTGCACAAAGCAAGCTAGGTCACAGAAGCCAAGGTGGGCAGTTAAAACAATGAGGCATAAAAATTTTCATTGTGTATGGTTTGTTTCTATGCAACAGTTTCTGTTTTCATCAGTTTCTCATGTGGGGTGGAGTGAAGGGGGTTATAGTTCCCGTTTCTATGAGAAGGTCGATGGTTTCTCACGTGGAGAGGGTTTAGCCTGTGTCTACCTAAGAAGATGGAGTTAGTATTGCTCAGGGTCCTCTGTTTCATTAATATATGTTGATTCCACCTCAAAGCAAATCAAAACCCTTCAGGACCCTAGGATAACAGCAAGGGTGAGAACGGAAGCCAAACAGAGCCTTGGACAAGAATTTGCACCTGACCCCTTACACATCCCCCTCCCTCCTGCTTTTCACCTCCCACATCCCATTCCCTCCACCTCCCCCATTAAAAACCCCTAGGCAAATCTGAGCTTGGGAGATGGGTCACCTACCATCCCCTTCAGGTCACTGGTCTTGAATAAAGCTGCCTTCCCTTTTCACCAATATTTGACTTTTGAAATGTTTGTTTCTGTTTGATGGCGGCAGCCAGACTTGGGTTTGGTACCAGCTCTGCATCTGCTGAAGCTGCGAAACTGTTTCAAAGGTTGTCTTTGGCTCCAACCTCCCAAATTCTTTACATCTTAGAGCAGTGTCTCCAGTTTGCATGCTACTTTAGAAACTCCTTATTTTCTACTCCCAAGGTAAGGGCTTTCTCCTTTCGCCCACAACATCCATACTTGCAGCAAAATAAAATATGCCGTGATGAAAAACTGTTTTCATTTTCCATGCCAATTCCGATCTAGGAGAGCATCTGCTCTCCTAGAGGAACTGCAGGCAGCACAAACTAACCACCCAACCATGGTCCAGCTGGATAAAGCTACTTGCAACTGACAGTCCAAGAAACAGGATGCTGAAAAGGAGACTGGAAATTGCCCTAAATCCAATGTCTTGTGCTGCACACTCCTCCAAAATCTTGGGAGATTATTTAATCCACCTCCTTTCTAATCACTCTGGTCATTGACCTTGTGGCTTACCAGTGACAGCCACCATCCACACTCAAGATCCACCCAGCCACTCAGCGGCCCCTCAGCCCCCACCCACAAATCAGAGGCTGATGTCCACCCGTAGCCACCTCAGTGACCCCAGTTCTAATGAAAGATGAGTTCCTGGATAAGCCAGACAGTGCCTCCAATGCAATGGGATTTAGCGTATCAGAACCGGAGACAGTGCACCCCGAAGTCCAGACCTTGTACTAGATCTGTGCAGCCAAGATCTCCCTGTGGCCCACCCCCACTGGGAAGGGAGAAATTAACAAAAATCACACAACTTTCCAACCAAACTGAAGCGGGGCTCCTTTACACCTAGAAAGAAAATCCCCAGACCACAACAGCAGAAAGCCCCTCTGCTTCTGCCCAGCTTTCTGTAGAATGAGCCTCCTCTGCCAGTCCCCAAGAGTACTTCACCCTCTCTGGTTCCTGTGTTGCTAGTTCTCACCCAATTGCCATCTGTCCATTAGTGATGCCTGTTCTTCCACATCCGGTCTGGGTTTTCTAAATGAGTTTCTAAGTATTTACCATAGTAGATCCAGGCCATGATCCTAACTCAGCATCCCAACATCACCAAACCATCACCAAGCCCCTCCTGAGATGGAAACATCTTCCCAAAGAAGAAAATGTGGGAAGAAGTGTGGAAGGGAAAATGTGAGGGCACAGTCAGAACATTCCGAGTTCCCTATAGCTGCTCCAGCCCAGCTGTACATTGAGATGCAACACGGATGATGGTTTAAAGTGCAAGCTCAGGAATCTCTCAAATCTCTGCCTCCATCTTCACGTGGCTGCCCTCCCTGGGTGTCTCTGTCTCTCCTCTCATAAGGACACCAGTCATTATATTAGGGCCCAGCTTAATCCAGTATGTCCTCATCTTAACTCAATTACATCTGCAAAGACCCTATTTCTTTTTTTTTTTTTTCCTTTTTGTCTTTTTTCATGACCGGCAACAGATCGCAACCCTCAGTGTTGCACCCGCACCTCGCTCAGCCAGTGAGCGGCCGGTCTGTATGTGGGATCCGAACCCTCGGCGGGAGCGTCGCCGCACTTCCCAAGCGGCGCACTGTAGCAGTGCGCCACTGGGCCGGCCCCAAAGACCCTATTTCTAAATAAGGTCACAAACACAGGTACTAGGGATTAGGACTTGAACACATCTTTTGCGGTTCACAATTCAGCCCACAACACAAACCTTCCGTATATCTCTAAGTTTCAAGGGAAGAAATAGACACAGAATTCTGTATAGTCTCACCAGGACTAGAAGAGCCAGTTCCCAAGTCTTTGGACTCATGGCAAGTGTGATGGACGCTCCCTTAGCCTCTATTCTATTTTTCTTTGGATGTATCTCTCCATACTGCAGACACTAGAAAGCTAAAATTCTACATTGCCCAGATTCTTTGACAGCTGGAGCTCTGCATGTAATTAGTTTCTACCAATTAGAAACACTTGCATAAGAACTGGGAGATGGAAGTGAGGCCAAAACTGTCTTCCTGCCCTTGTTGGTGTTTTGTTTTGCAGGTCATGGGATGGCAACAGCCTTCCACTCCTCAGCCTCCTAGGTCTACAGAGGCAGCTGGGGTGGGACTTGGGGGAGTCACTGCCACGCACACGTGTGTGGCATTGCAGGGCCTGTTTTTGCAGAGGAACAGCCTCGTCAATGAAT